ACTTGAAACACAAATAGTGCTAAGGAACTGAAATTTTAATTTAATTTAATAATTTAATTTAATTTTAATAATAATAGCTACTAGTAGTTGCTATCATATTGGACAGCACAGATTCAACAAAAAGAATTTATTTGGAAAATAAAACTAATAAGCAAAATAAAAATTGCACTTTAACAAATTTAAATCAAGAGTTAGAAATAGGGTCTCTTCTTTACCAACATTCTGACTTGTGTTGTATTAAAATGCAGTACTTTACTAAAAAAATAATTTTCTCATTTCTCCCTCAGGACAACAATGAATTTCTAAGAAATTTCTCCTTTGTCTTCAAAGCTGTTTAACAAATTCAAATAAAACAAACTGCATGGCACAATTTCAGCTTTGTTTAAATATGTTTTCATTTGACTTTCTTTGAAAGATTGTCAGCAAATGACAAAAAAGCTCACTGGAGGCTTTTAGATAAGTTGTAAAAACAGAAATGCTCTAAAAAGTTTTTTTGGCTTTAGAATATGTGATAAGCCTTAAATAACTATACAATGTGCCTAAACTGCAGAACATTTGGATGGCCCTCTAGACAGATACTGTTCTGAGCCTCTGTTAGAAATAATGAGAATAGAACACAAAGTAAATTTCCAAGCATGCAGAGCCATGACATGAGTGACATTAACAGAGCTCACTTTGACTTGTAAAAATTTCCTACCATGAAAGTAGCAGATGTGGGGGTGGGGTAGAAAGAAAAATAAAGTGTTTGACTCTCTCATAAACTTTAGTAAATTTTATAATTTGAAAGTAAGTAGATTAATCATACTGATTTCTTTTAAAGGCTCTTGGTCTTGCAAAGCAGGATGAGAATTTAATTAATATTAATTTGCTGAATAGACAAGAATGGTAAAATCAGTTTGTCCTAACTAGGGTAATATAAAATATAGATGAAAAGTTTTAATAGCAAGGGGAGGTTGGGAGAAACAGAAAAACAATAAAACAAAAATTAGGTCATTTTATAGATGAAGGGATCCTGCTGCTGACAATTTTATATTAAATAACTGAAATTAAAGGCAAGAGTGGAAACAATTTATTAAATGTTTCCAAATGTATGTAATATAAAAATATTCTAACTTAACATAGTATTTATTTCTAAAACTTTCATTAATATAAACATCTTAATTTAGGTTATACAGTTTTTTATTACTTAAAGTATGCTTTGGCTTAAAAAGAGTTATTTTTCACATTTAAAATATTTGGAAAATGAGTTTCAGAGTGAATATGTATAGTTCTTATGATCACAACAGAAGTAAATGATAGAGTTGGAAACGTGAACAAAGTTCCGACTCTTAGATTTGATAAAAAGTAGGCAGACAATCTTGAGAGAAGAGGGTCATAGCAAGTTCATGATATGAGAAGAAAAGAGTGAATGAAGAAAAGAAGGTGAAAATGTGCAATGAATGAAATGATTACTATGTTATTTTGCTTGGTAGAAAATGTAAATTAAAGTAAAATTTATCTGTATGATCATGTAAGGTTAATTTGCATCTTTAAAAGAGAGTGTTAATTCTTAAAGAAAAAATGATTCATCTGTAAGGATTCTTATTGTTATCGCTTGTCATAAAAATTCAGACATGAAACTTTGTCTTTTCTGTATTTTAAGTAAAGTCAGGTGCAATGAGAATCCCCCATGATATTCTGATATAATTTCTCCATATATATGTACATATCTCTATATACATATAACATATCTACATAAGTGTGTACATATACACACCAATATATATAACATACCAGATATATTAGTATTCGAAAGAGATCCAGAGTAGGAAAGTACAGTATCTATATCTCTTTAACTTTTACATTTTTATTCCAATGGCTGCTCATTAATAAAGCTCTTTTTAAAATTTTTCTAGTTTTAATTGACAGGGAAGGCAACACTTTCATGAATAGAAATATCTCTCAAGCACCCACACTGACCCAAGATATGTATATAAACCTCAGGGACCTACTTCTCTGTTTGGCTGGAACTCAGAGGAAATTAATTCTAATACTGATGTTACAGATGTCTGCATTTCTTGCTTTAGGCTTCCATCTTACCTGGCAGGTTATCAGCAGTAAAATTCCTAAACTAACCCCCTGACAATCTGCTTATTGGTTTCCTTAAAGGAAACATGACAGTGTTTTAGGTTTCCTTAAGGGAGACATGACAGTGTTTCAGATTGACATTTTGTATTGACAGTACATAAAGATAAATTTTTCTCACATTAGTGATCGCACTCCAAGTTCTAACCTATTTCCTCCCATCCCATAATGCATCCTGATCTTTTCTAGGAACCTCAAGAGATAATTTAATGTAAATTGGAGTTTGTATACATATAATCAAGGCTTTGGGCCCTTGTTTCTTTTTTAGTTAAGCATTTTCCTCATTGATTAAGACTAGACTTGAAGTTATGAAAATAAGGATACAGTTGGATTTATTTTGAAATCTGTTGAGAAAATTCAAATTGTGAAAATCTCACTAGATGAGATCGACTTAAATTGGTGTTGACTCAAATTGCTGAGAATAATGCATCAAATAATATATTGTGGAGACAAAAAGCTAGCAAATTTTATCATTCTGAAAAAGTAGTGTTTCTAAACTATAACTCAAAGAGGTGTGTAACATCAGGAGACTGGAGTAAAGATTGATTACAGGCATAACAAAACAATGTCTGTAACTGTTTGAGAAAGCTTACTTAGCTGACTTCCCTCCAAGAGACTCAGAAGAGTTTGATATATTTTTCCTTATTTTTTCAACTATAAAGTGAAGTGTTACTTAGCAGATCATATTTGCAGCTTTACAATTACTTGAGTTTATAGTCTCTGAATTTTATTATATGCAGAATAACATTTTTGATCTGTGTTGGAAAGCAAAGAGAGCCAGATGCTAATGACTAAACTGATGTTATTATCAAAGTGCACTTTCAGTGTAGAAAAAAAACAGCATAAAATTCATTATTTTCATAAATGCATATTTTTATTGATCCTGTCAACTCATATCAAAATAAGAATGTGA